GGCGAATGGCAAAAATGCGTGGGGTGAGCGCCCCCCCACGCTGTTTCCCTCACAAGACTTGAAATCACTGTCCCTTCATTAAATTGCTTTCTACCTACCCCACCCTATGCCGGTGCACTATATCACAGCTGGTGCTCATCTCTACAGAAAAAAAGACACCCCCTCCTCCAAATGTGAACACACTTCGGGGGAGGGTGACACACTCCACTTCCAACAACCTATGTCGAGCCAAGGCCCCACAGCTTAACACAGTTTCGGAGAGTGTTACAGATCATTGCCACCTACCCTGCCGATTTAGGCCTAAACTCAAGCCAGACCACCCTAGACAAATGACGGGCCACTAACTACAGAAAGCGCAATGGGCAGGTACTACACACACCATTTTATACACCAACCTCTACTCGATCTTTTCTAGGACCACGTATAATTCTCCCTTCCATTTCCGTCGCTCCCAGTATGCAAGCACATCCGTGAAACTTATCTCCCTTCCGACACAAGCAGTTAGTTAGAAGCTTTGCCCCACGGCCATATGCGAAGCACACTCGTGGAGACAATCCTCACCCCACCCTCGTCCCACATGGCGACTCCATCCCCACCCTTGAACAGCACTCCCATCCTTCTCCTTACTCCTCCCTTCGGTCCCCCCCACCCCACTTTACACAGCGAGGCCCTTTTCTCACATTCCCAAATACACGTGTTTGAGGGAGCGGATCTTTACATTTCCCAGGTAACCCCCAAACAGATCAGGTGGAAAGGCCGGTTTGTGCTTCACTCTACGAGAGTTAAACGTCAGGCCACAGGCAGCCCCCCCCCGCGCCGGATATTTCAATTCCCATTTGTCATTTCTTCTTTCTTTACCCAAAGCGGGGCCTACGTCCAGCCCTCAGTCTGCCCCATATCACCCCACAATGGAGTCTCGCTTTTCCAATCGCCCTGTATGGAGAGGGCGGGGAAAGCGTTCCCCCCCTCTTATTTCTCTCCCATCCCCTTATCCATCAGCCCCGTCGGCATCCTTCATCCCCATTCCCGAAGGGCCCTCTTTTTTCTCGGAACCCCCCCCACTCCCCATTCAAGAGAGAAGGGAGATGGTTTCCCCTTCCTCTTTCCCACACCCGAGGAGGTCTTTCTCCTCAGCGGGTGCCGCCACCGCCGCCCACCGCTTCCTCTCTACCTTGACATGGAGAGAGGCCTGTGGGATTCCCTCAGCCAACCTTTCCCCTTTACCTGGCGAGACCGTCTTTTCCAAGATAGTAATGAGCTCCATGACGGCAGGGGCGGCGTGAAGTCAAGCAAGGGAGGAAAGGAAAGACGGGGGGGAGGAAAGGGGGAAAAAGAGAGGGCCGGAGTCAGAGATCGCCGCCGCCGCCGCCTCTCTCTTCGCCCCTCACTCGCTCGTTCACTCGGCGGCCGGTCGCTCTCTTCCCTTCGCGCGCTCTTTACTTCTCCCTCTTCAGCTGCGGGGCGGCCCCACCCCCGGCGGAAGCGACTCTGCTCTCCTCCACTACTTCCCCTCCCCACACAGACAACTCCTTCTGGCGGCGGAAGAGAATGAGGGCGGGGGGTTGGGAAAGACGAGGGGGGAGGAGGAGGAAACGGGGGAGTTGAAAAAAGGGCGCGCGCGGCGAGGTGAAGCGAAATGGTTCTTGAACGTGCAAACCCAAGGTGGTGGGGAGGGGGTGGAAAACAAAAGAGCGCAACGGCGCTCGCTCACATCCCCCCCCGCACCCACCGCAGCCGCCCTGAGGGGGGAAGCCAATTCGCTCCCCTGAATCCCTAGGCGCTGACTGATTTGACTGGGCGAGTGAGGCCTGCCAGGCCCCAGCCCGCCTTCAGGGACGTAACGTTCGTTGCGTCGATGGCGTGCTCACGCACGCCGGGCGCCCTCTTGAACAGATGACTGTGAAAGCGCCTCCCTTTTGTCGTGCTCGACCGGCCGACTCCTGCCGCGCTGGTTCTTCGATTGGCCGCTTGCCTTTGTACGTCATGACGCGGACAACTCGAAGGAAGCGCTTCTTTTTTAAAAAAATGTATTTTTATAAATGTCTGAGTCAGTTTTTTGGGGGGGCTTATTTAAAAGTGCAATTCTTTGCCCGCTCGATTGCGAGGTCTCAAAAGAGGAGTCGTGTTAGTCTGTGCAAGCATATCGTCTATCTATCTATCTATCTATCTATCTATCTATCTATCTATCTATCTATCTATCTATCTATCTATCTATCTATCTATCTATCTATCTATCTATCTATCTATCTATCTATCTATCTAAAATTACAACACATATATATCTGGCATCTTAAAAATCTTAATATTTTAGCTTTTTGTACATCAGGCCGAATTCCTCTGAAGAAAACGAACAAATCCGTGTCCTTTATGCAGGAGAGGTAATACCTTTATTAAATCACACACACAATCGAACAGTCAGCACGTTGCCAGCAATATGTTAAAATTTCTGCACAATATTTAGAAATTAAACAGAGTTTATCCCACTGTCTCCGAAGAAATGGACTTGATTCATGAAAGCTGACATTAAAATAGAAATGTCTTCTATGTGTCAACGTTTTTGTCTCTTCCCCCCCCTTTGTTTCTTTGGTTTCTTCTTTAAAAGGGGGGGGGGAAGCTTCACTATGTTTAATTAGAAATGTCAGTGGTCATGAGACCCTAACAGGAGCTTGCTGAATTAGACCAAAGTTTAGGGATATGCCATTATTTTCTTTTCTGACCCCAATTCCCAGAATTCACCAAGATTTCTGGGACTTCCAGCCCATAGACCCATAGCTGAAGACTACTTTATTCACTTACCTATCACAGAAGTTGTACAGCTATCACAGACTTTGCTTCCTGTGAATAATGTACAGAAAAGGAAGCTGCCACGGTTCTTCCTGGGAAGCGTTGTCTGTGCTGCCCTTTAGGCTCCACAAAGCACGCCTCTTGAAGAACTATAACTCTCAGGAAACACTGCGGTAGCTTTATTCTTCATCAGTAGTTCCCAACTTTGGATAAATCAAGTGTTCTTGGACTGTAAGTCCCAGAAGCCTTGACCACCACCATTGGGAATCGTGTGCTTCGTTACTCAATGTTGGGAATATCGTACACTGACTACAAGCTGTGCCCAAGTTAAGGATTGTGTCTCCTCTAGTACCTTTAAATGGTTTTGCAGAAGCAGACCGTAGAAACAGTTTTTAAAATTTTCCTTTTATTTTTTGCTTAATTAGGAATGTGCAGTTATTCCTGTTTAATAACCTTAATAACTAACTAGAGTGGTCGTAAGACTAGATAGGCGGGATATAGAATAAATGAAATAAATAATAAAATAAGCTCAACACTATCACACTGTACTTTCTAGGATTAAATGCCAAAGGTTCTGGCAATTCTAGGTTAGCATGTAAGAAAACCACCACCTTTCATGACTTCATTGTGGATAAAGTGGGAGGAATTAATCTCTGCCTACTAGTCTGGGCTCTTGATTCACCCAAATTAGGTGTAATAATCAGAAAAGGTGCTGGTTGCTATAATTCATAAGCAACTGAGACCAGGTTTTAAGTATTTTAACTCGTGTTAGACATTTTCGGAGTACTGCCAGAACACTGACAGTTCCATAAGCCTATTTTAATGTGTAAGAGAAGACAGGAAAAAGCCATTTATCAACCTTACTTCCTAGCAGTTACGATGTTGAAGAAATTATACTTCTCCCACAAACATTGTGGTTTAAGGTTTGCTGTTATGTTCCACACAGGGTTAAACCACAGAATTCTTGGAAGTCCGCCATTCCTTAGGTTTCTTTGTCTAGAATTTCAATGACAAAATCATTTAATCTAATCTCTGTTAATGTTGCTCTCCGAAGTGCAGATGTCTTTATAGCACTGTTTAATCCCATGTTGAAGTGACAAAGCTTCCTTTTATGGTTGGTTATGGCTGGATAGCTAAGGAACCATCTTCCATATCAATCTGCTATGTAGGATAAGCATAAGAGTCATTATTGTATCACCTACTAGTGAGCAGTAACTGAAGACAGCATTCTCAGCTGTGGCATCCTGCATGTAGATTCTTTACCAAGGGCTGCTTGCAACTTCTTGCTCCCTTTTGGGCAGCATGCAGACATTTGTTTGCTCAGGTTTTTGTACAGGTAACATTTTTTTTCTTTGCTACCTTTAATGTTTTTGTTTTATTTGCTTTCATAATTTTATTTTAATGGCAGCTTGAATTGTATATGAAAACTTCAACTTGAAAAATAGTATTGTACATATATAAAATGCTAAATATGTTCCATTGTGCAGGATTCTGTATTATCCAACTGCACATGGTAACCTTCTAGATAAAAATGTGAACTTCATAAAATGGTTAAGCAAATATAATTTTGGACTGCAGTTCCCATAATCTGTGCTAGCTAGACTCGATAGGAATTGCTGGCAAAAAAGATCTGGAGGCCCACAGTTGTCCAGCCCTAGACTAGAATGACATATTAATCTGTGGTATGTAAGGTAGCACATTAGAATGGAAAATGGTTACTTTAAATTTACCTGTATGTTGGTATTGGAAATGTTTTGAATTAGTTAAAAAGAAAGGCCTAAATGTCGAAAGAGAACCTGTAATTCATCTTCCCTTTCTTTGCTTGTAATCAAGGATTGAAGTAGGCTGAAGAAAGAATAGAAAATTCAGAGAGAGAAAGAGGTAGGGTTAAAATATAATTATTCAGGGACCTGGCAAGCCTCACACTATTTTTTCCTTCATTCCTTGGGGTAAAATGTTGGCTTTAAGCATTGTTAAATGCATTTTTATTTAACAAAAACTCACTGTAACTGCCTTTATTGCAGTAAACCACTGCAATATTTTAAAAAATAAAAATAAAAGAATAAGCAGGCAAATTGATCCTTTTAGTGCCATGTCTTTGGGAGTGCACTCTGAGTTGCTGGAAATCTGCTGGGATTGGTCACCCCTATTCAAGAAGAATCACAAAAATGGAATACTGGAATGAGCAGAGGCTGGGTAACATGGGAAAGTACACGAGTAGCCATGTATCAGATATAGCAAAATAGTAATCAAATCTTCTGAAACAGCCTATTTGATATAATATGCACACATCACAGCTTTGTATGTACAGTACCTGAAAATAGGACTTTAGAAGTGAATGTGATACTGAGCTCAGTATAAAATGTCCTGAGATAGAAGTTTAACCTGATAAGTGATAAAGCTTGCAGGCCTTAAGACTACAAAAATAATGTTGAAAGTTCATGCATAATGCCTACTACAAAAAATTCCAAGAAAAAATGCACAAATTGGTTAATGCCAAGGATTTTCCTAGATTGATAGGAAGGGAATTAGCAACTTTCATAGATTTGTGATTTCTCTGCAAAGGCTAACAAAAGAAAATATGCACATTTATATAGTTTGTAACAGTGTGTGTATTCTCCTCTTGTAGATGTTATTTTTAGCATGTGTACGCAGTACAGTACAGAGAAGTTTGAGCTTACAGTATATTATAGTGGCTTCCAATGTGTTTCAGGTTTATGCATCAATTATGCTGAAGCACCAAATGGTTGCTACCATCTGTTTACTTCTATTCTTTGGATCCAGGACACAGCACACACCAAGGAAGCAGCACCCAGAAGTCCATTTGGGAGTTTTTGCTAAAGTAGAAAAACAAGACGAAACAGCACCTTTGCTGTGGAAAAGGCCAAGTGCCGTAACTTGGTTATTACCAGGAAGTCCGAAGAAACTCCCACTAGAGCAATTTTGGCTGTTTTTAAAGTCTAGAACTTTTGTTCTGAATATGTTGCTCTAGGCTCAGCATGGATATTATATACAGTACATCTTTCTTAGAGTGATTGCTCTTCAACACAACACTACCACTTTAGAGCAGCAACCTGTGGACACTCAAAGGATATGCTCTTCAGCTGTTTGGAGGTGGCACTTGAAGAAGAGAAGACAGTAGGAGTATGAAATCCAGAAGACACCCCCTTAATTACCCACAAAGGTGGACACATACAAAATCATTTGAATTTATTTCCCACTAAAATCTGTGGGACAAGTTAGGAGGACAACTCAAGTCCTATTGTTGTGATTTCAGTGGAAACAAAGTGAAATTAACCCGATGCTGTATCTAATTGTTGAGTACAATTTACTGGCAGTCCTCCCACACAAGCTCCACTGAAATGAATAAGACCCCACACTCCCAAATCTGACTTTATGCTCACTGCATTAAGCTCCTTAATAGAATTTAAGAGTCGGTCACCTGAAACAGCCCCATCACTTTGCCTCGTGATAGTCCCATCTCTTGAGTAGGGAGTGGAACATTCCAAGACGTATACATGATGAATAAAGAGAAAATTCTTCACCGTATACCCCAACCCATTTAAACTTACTCATCATCAAAGCCGTATACAAAGAAACAGCTTCCAGTTTTCCAACATACATACACCAAAACCAAGACTCTTCAGTTTCACATTGACTTTCCTTTTTATTAACGCCAACTTGTTTTAATATTTTTTCCTTTTGTTTTTCTTTTAAAACAATAGCACAAAAATGTGTTTCCAGGGAAGCAGTTTGACAGCTAGTATCTGATGACCTTCTCAAATAACAGTTAAAGCCACACCAAGTATGAATTCCTTTTCAAAAAGGTATTTTAAAAAGGGGAACTGTAAACGTTTGTGGGAGAAGTGGTGTCAGGTTTGAAATCTGGTTAGCAGGAACATGCTACTCTGATAAGCAACTGATGGCACACAACTCAGAATTTCGTCATCATGCCAGCTAGTACAAGTTTTAAGGCTTCTGAATCAAATTACCAAACATCACCAAAGAAACAGGGATGGAAAACTGCAGTCACAAGGTGTTTAGGGAAATGTTTTGGTTTTTAAACAGAGTGAGTCTTTCAGTCAAGCTACAGTGTTATGCATAAAGAAAGCCAGCCCTTACAGCGGCCCAGAAAAATCCAGTCACAGTACTAAATCTTATTTGCATGCAGTGGTAGGGTATAATTTAAAGAAAGATAGAAAAAGGTGCTGTGAATTCATTTGTTTTTAATGTGGCTCAGAAAGATGTTCCTATATGGGTTTTGTAATCTCTAAGAAGGACGTCAGCAAATGAAATCAAAACTGGAGATAGAGACAGAATGGTTTATTTCTCCCCTCCCAAAAGACAATGAGAGAAAGGATTGGGAAGGGCGGGATTCTTACAAGCCTTCAAATAAGAACCAAGATTACAGAATGTCTCCCAGAAACCCTCACCTCAGTATACACACTAAATTATACCAAGCTGTCTTTCATAATTGAACCATTCAACACGCTTGTGTTTTTTGCCGTCTTGTAGTGTGCTCTCTGGCATGCTCAGAGGCGTTAACCCATTCCTGCCCTCAACTCACCATAGAATTCAACGTGCCTCTGATTTCCCTGCTGCTTTTCTTTCTTTCTTTTTTTAGAAAAAGGGAGAGGAATGGTTAAAAAAATCATTTATCAGTAGGCGTAAGGAAGGGGTAGGTGTTAAATATTTTGACCACTGACAAAGGCTTAAGGAATTTTCACAGTTTTGTTATGCTCTATTTTATTACTATTATATTTACAGGGTGGTTGTTTTTGTTTGCTTTTTGCTGAATTGTTGATAATTTTTTAAATAGAATTTAGTTCTGGAGTGTGAGCAGGAACCAGTTAACTACATTCATTGTCCAATCTCCACTGGTTTGAGAAAAGACTCCAATTTCCTTGGCGTATTATTCGGCTGTTGGATAGCAGCTCCTCATCCTCGCACCGAGGCAGTTGGGCCATAGCAGTTGGGATGTCTGAGGTGGGTGAGGGTAAGCTCACACAGCAGTTGGTGAGGCCTTACGCTGCAGGAGGTACTGGTGGACATTTTCAGCATCACGCTTCAGCCATGCAGCATTCAACAGAATGTTTTCACAGCACTGCTGGATTGTGCGTTCAGCTGACGGAGCAGGATGACTCTCAAAGAAAGCCTAAATGAAACAAAACAACATCCACTGGGAGTGCCGCTTTTGATGACATCTTAAAACATTTGAAGTAATGAGGATATGCACCACAGATGTGGGAAATCTGTGGTAATTTAGTCCAGTCAGCTGATAAATTACCCTATCCATCATCCCTCATGACTCATCAGGCTGGCTGAAACTGATGGTAACTGGAGTCCAAACTTGTATGAAGGGATAAAGACTTCCCAGCCTTGATAGGGCTCCAGTTCCATAGCATATAAGGAAGAGAGGGACAAAGACCATATCTGCAAAAAATGGTGACTGCTCAGGTAGACATGTGTGAGCCCTACATATGCCATCTATAGAGCATGCCCACTAAAGCAGCAAAGCATGGTTTTGTATGTTAATGCTTAAATGATATTTTGATTTTTCAGCACTGCTGCTATGGCAAGCTTTTCTAAGCTCCCAAGAAAGCCAGTGGTTATATCATGTGTGCATTTTAAGCCTTATAATGAAATCATGTGGCTACATTTCTCATGGCCAACATCCACTTGAAAATGGATGGTACATTCACGAAGTCAACTTCCTAGTGAAACAGGCCCATTTTAAGAGTTTTAAAAGTGCTCCTCAGTGTGTGGCAGAGCACTGAAGAACTTGTAATTACAGTGGTGCCTCACTTAGCGAGCGCTTCGTTTAGTGATGAAATCGCATAGCGACGAACGTTTTGCGATTGCAACAGCGATCGCTTTGCGATGTTCCCTATAGGGGAATTTCGCTTTGCGATGATCAGTTCCCTGCTTAGGGGGGCGATCATTGCAAAGCCACCATTTTCACACAGCTAATTGGCGGTTTCAAAATGGCCACCGGGGAAAAAACATGGCCGCCCGCTGTTTTCTGGGATGGAATCCTCGCTTAAGAGGCACCAGAAATGGCCGCGCTATAGAGGATCTTCACTGAACTGTGAATTTTAAGCCCATAGGAACGCATTAATTGCGTTTTAATGCGTTTCTATGGGCTTTTTTTCGCATTGTGACATTTTCGTTCAACAGCGATTTCACTGGAACGAATTAATGTCGCAATGCGAGGCACCACTGTACTTAATTCACAACTAACTCTACAAGCCAAATCTGTTCTACATTCTGCCATAACATCCACTACACTCTAATTTAGACCCAAACCCAAATACTACACATGCGTTTCTTGTGTGATCTGTGGAAGTTATGGTTAACTCTCCACTTTGCCCAGGTATACTAGATGTTCTAGATATACTAAATCCCCAGTCCTGGCTTGCCTGCATTGGTTGCCAGTCTCATCCCAGGCCAAGTTCAAGCTGTTAGTTTTAATGGAGAAAGTCCTTAACAGTTCAGGACCTAAGTCTCGGTCAGAGTGCATTTTCCACAGAAATGCTGCCTGCTTTACCCAATCCTTCCAGGCCTTGTTGTTGTGGGTAGCCACACCAAGAGAGGCAAGGAAGGCTTCAAGTAGAAGTTGTGTCTTGATAGTTCTACCAGACTTTGCAATGTCCTCCCTCTGGAGATCTGGCAGGCCTCCTACCTTCAAAGGTTTAAAAAAGTGCTCAAAACTTCACTTTTCAAGGAAGCCTTTAAAGATATCCTGTTACTCAGCCTGGTCTGTGACCCCTGTGCCTCTTGATGCTTGTTGCTATTATTTAGTCTTTTAGCCTGTTTATTTATCTGTTCCAGTTTTGTTGGTTGGTTGTTTTCATTTATTATTTTTGTTTTTGGGTGGAGTGGGGATAGGGGGAATAGAGTCTATGTTATATTGTAAGACCATCCAGAGTTGTGGTTTCCACTAAGTGGGGCGGTATACATATGCAAAAAAAAGAGAGAGAGAGAGAGCGGTGATAGCCCCCATTGTGGTATGGTAACAAATTCTCCCACAACTTTGAACGATATGTGATTAATCCTTCCAGAGCAGCTTTCTTTAAAGTGGTGTCCACCAGATGTTTTGGACTGTAACTCCCATAATCCTTCACCCTAAGCCATGTTGGCTGGACGGATAGAAATTGGAAGTCCAAAAGGGTTAGGAAAGACTGCTTTCAACACACCCCTGAAAATGTTGTTCTGTATAGCAACAGGCATATAAATAGTAGCATTTTGGTTGGGGAAATAGTCTGTAACCATGACAATTTTCTACAGCTACTTTTTTAGCATTTGATCCATCAACTCTTACATAAGGTAACACCAATTTATATTGATGTGCTTAGTTGCATGGTTGAGTTTATCTATCTAGAAAGCACACTGACTGACCAAAACCTGTAGCTGTGATTAACTAAAAAGGAGAGACCTGGAATAAATTGTCCTGAAACCTTGCCCTAATTCTCTACTCCCCTTTCAGAGAGGTTGGTCCAACAACAGTAAAAATGAATGAGTTCTATGTATGCAATTCTGTTCTGGCATCTAAATCCAGAGCCCCCTGCAATGCTAAAGTCATAACACAAATCAAATAATCTTACCTTAACCTCTGCAGCCATTTTGTCAATTGCAAACCCATCCACTGATAGCTGGAACACAAAGCAAAGCACACAGTAAATTGGAGGGAGACATTTTCTAAAGCCTTCTGTTTCAATGCATAATCAAGACTTTTTCATGCACACCTTTATTAGCCTGGATATTAAGAAGCCTCCCTGATAGCGATTATACAGCTCTTCCCAGTTGTCTCTGACAAACTTCCAGGCAGCTTTCCTGCCCTGCTTGCTGCTTCCAGCAACTCCACCAATGACAGACACTGTATCCTGGGGACGTACCTCTTCCTGCAAATGAAATAAGAAGATACTGTAATTCTAATACCTTTGAACCTCAATACAGTACTGATTATGCATAATATATTGTACTGGACAATCACAAACTCTTTTAAACTCTTCAGGGACTAAACAACAGCAAGCTATATAGACTGGAATCCTATTGGTATTCATGTAAGAACTGCATAATTTGCTGCACCTAAATGTGGCATCTTGAGTGGATTAGGACATTGGCACCTCACCTATAGTAGCCATGTGTTGGATTTCTTTTCTCTCTGTTGTCACAGAGGTCCATGATTACATACCACAGCAGACCCCCCTGCCTGCTGTGATCTATGTTTTCAACAGCAGCAGTCGGTAATGTAAAGCAGGAATGGAAATAAACAGCATAACACCATGCATTTTCTATCTACACATCATAAACAGAAGGAGGCAGGAATGCAATATCAGATTCGTAGTAGCCCCATTTCTGCCCATTTACAATAATCATCATCTTTGAACTGTGGAGCTGGAAGGAACTCTATGGATCATCAAGTCCATTTAGTTTTAGCCTGCATTATTTTGGTACTTCATACATGGCACTGCCTCTACTTTAAATAACTCTTTTGTAAGAGCAGTGCCCTATTTCCACAGCAGTTTCACAAAGAATATTTCACATCTATAATACTGACACGTTCATTCCAGATGAGAACTGCTGAATGCTATTTCTGTGTAACTTAACCCTGTTTCTGAGAAGCTGCAAGTCTGCCACATTCCCTTCCCTCTGGTTTTATTGCCCAGGAAGAATGCCAAGTAACCCATCCCATTTCTTTCAAGCCCACACGGAAAAAGAGAAGCAGCCACTGATTAGTCGTCCAAACATTTGGTGGCCATGCATCAGCGAGGCTAAAAGGGCAGACTCAGCAATAAGCTGCTGGTGAGCAAACTTCTTGCACCACTGATAATTTCAGTAACAGTCTCTTGGGACTTTTCAATGAAGCTTTAACCATGCGGCCCAGTTCTTGAAAAAACAGGGGCAGCAAGGTCACAGGCTGCAGAGCTGGCTTGAACGCTCTACACTTCTTGCAATTCTCTCACTGCTGTCCTCATCTTCACCTTACCTGTGAGGCTTGCTAAATATAGTTTATTTTGCTTTCACTAACTATAGGTAAGACGAAGTAGCTATACAACAGGAGTTTATTAACCACTGCTCAACCTCCCTGTCTCCTGTTTTCCAGATGTCTTCATGTTCTGCCTAGATGGTTGTAGCCCTAAGGATGACACACTTAACTAAAAGAAAAGATTCTCAAGGTGTTGAAACTGGCACTAGATACAAAACTTTACATTTCAACTGACAATGCACAGGGTACATGTAGTATTTGGTAAATTACTCACTGAAAGTGCAAAAGTGAGAACTTTCTGTATTAACTCTGGCTGAGATATTGCTCCAAGTACACGCTCTATTCGGTTCTTCTCTTCCTGCATATCAGCTTGCTTGTGGAGCTGTACAGAACAAAAACAAACATTGCAAGTGACATAATATTTGTTTCCTGCCACAAGCAGATATCCTCCACCCTAAACTTGAACCAGAGAAGCTGAATTAGAAACCTAACATGGAACACTGGCAATCCTACTGACTCTCTGGGAGTGTGGCCAATGAGCAGTCCACAAAAGAATATCTGTCACTTAGTTTAGTGGGGGGTCAAAAAGAGGCCATGCTTCCAAGTAACTGTGGGCTTGTTTTGGGAACAGAGCCATTAGGTGGCGTTCTGACTCCATACAATCTTCAATCATCTTCATTTCATCTACATTTCACTGTACTGCCAGCATTCTCTTTTGAAGTATGTTCATGACCAGGTTCTTGCCACATAGAGGTACAAAGCAACTTACATTGAAGCTGTTCAACAAGTCATAGCCCTTTAAAGGGACTCAGGACCTAGAGGAAAAATAATCTTCCTACCAATAAATGCTAAAGCTACAGGAACCTGTCAGGTACAAAGAAGTGTTTCAAAAACAGTTTGAACTGTGAAAACAGGACTGTTTGGAGAAGAGGGCAGAAAATGGCAGATTTCAGAAGTTTAAAACATTGGTATTAAAATATACATTAGATTATGTTTTGTAGTGGCCAAACAATTTCCTTTCACTTTACACTCATGACTATAGCCCTTCCATAACCTTTTAAAAAATATATCTATTCTAGGTTTTATTTAATTTCATTTATAGAACAGATCTCTTATGCATTCTGAGTAACAAAACTGCACTAATTTCAAAGTATTGTTTCTATTTATGTAACATATAAAATTATCTCTCTATCATGCTCACACCCACCAGCAAGTACATTTGGGGATGGCACTTCTCATCAGCTCAATTTTTCATTGCCTTTATTTGGTTCACCAATTACATTCTTTCTTACATAGCAATCATCTGGGTTATAGGGATCCATGTGCTAGTAACCTTCAGACTGGGTTATTTATAATGAATTGTTTGTTGAGATGCCATTGAAAATAGCTGAAAAACGTCAATTAGTACAGAATCCAGCTGCCAAAACTCTAGCAGCTAGGCCCAGGTGGAGCCCTACTGCATTCATTCTGAAGGAACTACAGTAGCTTCCTGTTACTGAGGCAAATTCAAGGTACTGGTGCTAAATTTCAATCTCTAAATAGCTTTGGGCCTCAAATATCTGGGCCAGCTTCCCAATCTATTCATGTCTTGAAACGATCAGAATATGAACTTCTATATGTGTCTTCTATAAGAAAAGGGCAAATACCTACAAAAGATAAGGGCCTTTTCTGTGGCCCTTATCCGTCAGTAGGCAAAGACCTTTTTCAGGCAGACTTTTAATCAGTAAGTGTAGGTCTAGGGAATGCTGTAGTTTTGAAATTTAGGTACAGTCAACCCTCGACTTACAAATGTCCCTAGATACAAACTTTTCGATTTACAAACGGCTCCGTTGGCAAAATTGGCATCGACTTGAGAATGGAGCTCGACCTACGAACGAGGTTGAGGCTCGATTCGCAAGTCAATGCCATTTTTTGCTAACAGAGCCGTTTGTAAAGGGCTTCCTGTAAAAACGCAGGGAGAAAGGGCGGGAAATTTGAATTTCCCGCCCTTTCTCCCTGCCTTTTTGGCTTCAGAGCT